AAAGTATTAACGTGGAGAAGAATTCCAACTAGTGTTCCTGTTAGTTTGATACGGTTTATTTAGTTGCAGGGAGATTTCCTCAACCTCATTGTTACTTGACCGTGATAGAATTTAGTAATACTACTAATACACATGAATGGTTATCAAGACAAAATTTAAATACGTGAGTGATAATTATATGGATTTTGGATAGATAGTTAGGAACAAATCGTTCAACATGAGTGTATTCGTAAGAGACATGCTCCAGACTCAATGTTTTGATCTGCGGCAGACTATTTATTTATATTTATACTTGCCGGCTGATCGGGCATACAAGGTAGTTGCAAGTATACAGTTTATCATAAGGCGGAATACGATTTAATTGAGATATAGTGATTATAAGTTATTAAAATCAGTTAAGCCTATGTGTCATATTACTAAGTGATGTGGTGCTGCAAGATGCATTTAGCTAAATAAGTTTTTACATGATTAATAGTGAGTGACGCTCATGTGATTATAAGCGAGAACATAGGTTGTAACCAAGATGAGTACACTCCCAACTCATGTCTATGATAATGGCTTGAACCTTAGTCAGTAATGGGGTAAAGTCGACGTTGATGTTTTCAGTTTGCAGGAGATTTGCTCGACTGCTTATACTGATTATTTGCATGCATGATTGTGTCGCTAAACCATCAATTAGACTGACAAGGTTTTGAGATATTTACTGAATGAGCAACTGATAGAGAAACATACTGTAATCATCTGTAGTGAATGAAGATAAAAGAAAAACAACACTAGTGATAATGATAAGTCAATTTGTTGACCAATTTCGTGAATAGTTTCATTAATTTTATCAGTTATATTATGTGATTGTCAAGTCATGAAATTCTTTACGACGATATTTTGAAACTATGTTCAACTAGTTATAGTGTTGATTGAGGATTAGTCAGTGGAAAAATAGGTATTGTTGTTTTAGGTGATTCGAAATTATCAGAAATTTATAACGTTAAAGAATTCGAGATGCCTAATCATATTATAAATTTTAATTCAGAAGTATTCGTTTAGTGTTAGTTCTAATAGGCTCCGGAGTTTTGATTTTAAACGTTTGTTTAGTCAACAGCTACCTGAGGATTTAGTTATTTTACTAGTGCAGTTGAAAGTGCCTAAATTTGTAATCTTATTATCTAAACTATGTCCGCATTTTAGGCTGCTAATATGATAAACCAATCCATAAACCCAAATAGGTAAAGTAACAACGACTATGCTGGGCTTATTGATAAATGTTAAAAGCGATTCACATGATTTCTAAATTTAGAAGACGTGAAGATATGGTGCAACGTATGTACGGGCCAGGTTAACATGCAGGTTGTTGACGTATATGACAATTTAAAAATAATGAACATGACCAGATAAAGTTAAGACTGCTTGTGAAACTTCAGGCAGGAATATGATGCGTTATAAACCTTCCATAAAAAGTTGCTGCATTTAGCTTAGTGACACTTACGAATATATGGCAAAAGCAACTAGAAAACATATACATGTTAAGTACAAAAAATCATTTCGTAAAATAATTGAACTTGCCTGGGTTATTTTTGAAAATTATGTTATTCAGTGGACAACATATATAACGCCATTCGTGAGTAGCAATGATCCGAATGTATCCAGAATAAAACATGCAGTATGGCAATCACTTCCAGGTTGCTTGATGCTCTTGAGGTTTTTGGGACTCGCTTTGATCAGAACAACTGAATGAATCCAGATAATTGTGTGTGCCATTGAATGAGCCATCTAAAATGAACTTATGATTGCAGAAAACTTATAGCTGGAACTCACAGTACTTTTTTGGAGTAGTGTCATCCTTGTTGTTTGGCAATGGAACTCGAGAATATGAAATTAGGCAGGCAGTGGTCGGAAGAAAAGATATTACAGGATAGTACATAGTTTAAAACAGGATGAGGTGTTTAGTGAAGGAACACTGAGAACTACATCGAGATAACTATTTAGTCCTTGACTGCATTGTTAGTCAACGTATATTTACACTATTTACAGGTCATATTTGCTAGAGCTTGATGTTTAAACAAGACTATGTCGCTGAAGCATGTAAATGCTATTATAGCTTGTCAACGAACCATCAAAGCTAATTACTTAATATAGGCGACCAGTTTTTATTATCGCTTGAGCTAGTATGTCATGAGAGCTAATCAATATAACCTTATGATAATACTTGTGAGGATTGATCAGAGGACTATTAGAATACTGCGTTAACATAAATATAAAATCGATCGAGAAATTTAAAGTGGAAATAAGGATTATTTGTAATAGGTTGCGTTTCTTTAGTCGGGCTTACCAATGTAGATTTATGGTCTACTATGATATTAGTGCTGCTCTAATAATAGACCTAATCCTAAATTTGTAGATTTGTCATGATATAACTGCCTAATCTATAAGATCTTACGTGGAAGTCACACCATCGACTACGCCAACTCACTGTATCGTATCAATTACCAATACATGATGTAGAACAAGGTTAGGCTAGAGAAAGAACAATATATTTAATATGAATAGAAGAAATAAGATAACATTCAGCAGGGACCACGCCTGCATGGCCGAGTCATGCCGTTCGATCAACTCTAATTCACTCAACTCATTGTTCGCGCTTTCTCCATCGTTAGGTATTTCTCCGTGTTAAATATTGAATATCTACTTTCCGAGTTGTCTCATGTTCAGCTTTGAGTATTGTGTGGTTATGGTCCAATGCCACTGCAGGATCACCAATACCTCCAAACAGGAACCTAGTTATATAAACTATAATTGATTAGAAATATCGAAATTGATAACTCATATTAAGATGTTATCCGTAGTCCTTAAGAATATTGAAGTTTCCTCTTGATGTAATCACGGGAAGCCGTTTGGTCTAGTTCAGTCGGCAGCGAATTCCAGCACTCTTAAGGAGGAGAATTTGTATCTCCAGCCCATTCTGCTATGTTGTATCTCCAATTTATTGGTGTTACCTATTAGGTTTGTATCCGGACTTAGCTTAAGTAGGTGCTTAAGGGGATGTTTAGAAGTGTTAAGGATACTGTAAGCCATCAGATCACCCCAAAGACGCCTATCTTCTAATGAGTAAGAGTCAAGTGTTTGGAGGCGCTCTTCATAAGGTTTGAATTTAAGTCCCCGAACTGATTTCGTGGCTGGTCGGCGGATATGCTCCATGTTTGTGACATGAGATAGTCTGTGTTCACAGCTTTGTGGATTGTGTGGCTATTGTCCAATGCCACTACAAGTCGACCAGGTGACTTGAAGAACAACATAGTAGGTTCTGTTCACCAAACAAATGGGGAGAGATTATAAGAACTACCTTCCTATGAATTTAACTACCGTATCTGTCAAAATCACAGATAATATTATTTGCCAGGAGTTGTTTAAGTATCAAGGTGAGAACTTGTTTCCCTCTGAAATGTAGAATGTGTTTAGTATGAGATAATCATGTATCACGAACTTACTAGTTACATGAAAAAGTTATTGCATTTTGAAACGTCAGAAGCTATCTGCAGATTCAGACTTGATTGACTTTAGTAAGGTTTTTCACGAAGTCTCATATAACACACAGTTATACAAGTTAAGAGGCATAGGGATTGGCAGGTGACGTACTTATATGGATGAATAATTATCAAAGAATTTTGGTCAACTTAAAGTCTTCTAATCGTAAGATCGTGCTCAGTGAAGTGCACAGGCTGTTGATCTAAGATTAATTGTCAGTCATGCCTTGAACCATCTGTACACCGCTGCAGAATGACTTTCTAAACTTATAAAACTCTTGTAGCGGTAAATAAATCCCCAAAATAAATAGCTCTAAGTTTTCGACAATGGATGCTGACCATATGTTTTAGTGGACTCATCTAGCTGAAGGCACTCGGTCATGCATCCGCACCAGATCACGTGTGGTAACGCCGTGCTCAACATCAACCGCAATCGCTAGCCAGATTAGATCAGAGAATTCCGATATATTGGTAATCGCCAAATACACTCTTCCGATCTCCTCGACTCTGTCTTTTGAATTCTCTGGGTGGGAACGAAATATATTAGAAGGTGTTACTGGTAGAAGCGTTGTCAAACACTGAATACCTGTGACATCTTCACTCTGCAGTCAACTAATAGGGCCTATGAAAAAGTAGATGTCCAGGACTTTTGGACTTCTTCTACTGTGTTCGTTGAACCTATAAATGAGTATTACATTTGAACATACAGACCCTACATAAAAAAGCCAGTGAAGTGTTCGAAGAGATTCAAACAATCATAAATATTTTGATTTTAGCAAATCTATCGAAAGATCAAGGACTAGTTAAACTAAACCTATCTCCCGGCCATACAGAAGAACTTGCGATGGTAAGCAAATCCCTATAATCAACAGCTTTGTAAATCTTCGACATTTTGTGATGACATCATTAGTTTTTTTGGACTCATCCAGCTGCAGGCTCTCAGTTGTGCGTCCGCATTAGACTACCAGTGAGTACGCTGTGCTTCACTACTCCTACAACCGCTAGCCAGCTTATATTAGTCGCTTCTCGATATATTGATATTCTATCAAATGTATCTTCGAGCACCCGCGTTTCTGACTACTGAATTCACCAAGTTGGCATGTTTCGGTGTTGCCAGTGTTGTCAAACTCAGAATGCGTGTTGCATCTTTAGACTAGAAGTGACCTGGCAGGTCTCTAAATTGTTTATTGGTATTTTCGCACATGAAATGCTGTAATTTTGCATGTCCCTCAAGACATAAAATGTACTATTTCACTTCAAAAAGTCCTAAATCTCGAAAGCAAATCACTCATCATTGAATCGTCAGGCACTATAGTGCCTATAGAACTTTGTGTCTTATTATGCGATCGAAGCCTTATCTTCTGACGTTCTCACAGAAAATTCCAATCAACTAGAGACCTCAATCTCAACAATTAACGTAGAGAATCCAGCCTCTTGTACGTCATTACCAGTGATAGCAATTGTACATATAATCTCGATGTCCTAGCGTGTAATACAAAAGACTCGTTGTAGCTCCAAGGCCACTCTGCTCAATGAGCCGATTGATATGGCCTTACTACACTTGTACTTTTTTTAGAAAGCAGCCTCAATACGGCCTAAAGTTATGGTATCGATATTTTATACCTGATTCGTATGCTTTGGTTGATATTTGGAACGCTCGGCTCTTTAGTGATATTTTCCGAAATATTTCAGCTCGTAAGTCCCACAGCAAAATTCCTAAAACCCATAGGTGATCATGGTTTAAAATTACTGCAAAAAATTAATTCTGGAAAAGTCGTGTCACCATTGGACTATGACATAGTAAAGCTTTATTGTCTGTTAATTGTTGTAATAATAGTTCGCAAATAAACTAGATGAACTAGATGTCAAGTCCTTAGATTTTGTTGAAGAAGTCATCATGAGGTTTGAAGTCCGTTTCCTTACTTATATAAAGCTATATGAATACTCAATCTGCGGTGGACGTAAGGGATTCAACATCTCATGCGTTTATTCGAGGCTATTTGAATTTCCGAGAAGTTGACAGATTACTAAAATTAATCGAATGTAGAGTATGAATATTTTGAACTGCTTAATGTTTAGTCAAAAACAGGAATTTTTGTAGATTTTGCCTCTGCAGTTCTCATGATGGACGTGTTTTTACGAAAAGGTGAATGGAATTCTGCTATTGCAGTTTCTTGGGAACTCTGCCTTCAGGAATATTTCAGCTTAGAGAATGTTAGACCACTTGTCCTTGCTACCTCACTTTTTTCATGCATGAAGTCAATAGAACATGATTCGTACGTGGTCAAAGAATCTGAACCGGCCGATGACAAAGAGGTAAGGTATCAGATTTGTAAATAAAAACTCCGTTTGAGAAAGCTTTATTAGGAATAGCTCTTTTTTAAACTAGATAAGAAAAAGTTGATGAGTAATAATGTTTGTCAGGTTCTTTCACTTAGAGACACGGATTTCTAGTGTTTATTAGTGCTGAAATTAGTAATTGGAGTAGTGCAAATATGTGTATTGATTTTACTACTTTTCTAATCACCGACTGACATCGGTTTTTCTGGCATTCATTGTTCATTAGAAATAACAAACCAAATGCTATCTATGTAATCACTTGCTAGCCCAAATATTGAATGAAAATGTGTTTCTCATAAATGATAAAGCTTTTTCAAAGACTGCAGTTGTAAGTACAGAGACTATAAGTAATCGTTTTAGTGCATAGTTACTCTAACTAGATCAGTTCTCAAGGCGGATAAACTTGTTAAAGACATCGTTTATTATAAGTTCCTTAGTAGTGATGATTTCACCTTCTTCGGTTTGGGCGTCCCGGGCAATATTCTAGCCTTCTTTTCTGAGCCATATCTGAAAACGTCTCTAGCCACTGTGTTGCAGCATCTCTAGGACCCCAGTCAGGGAGTCGTGGAGGACCAACAGAAGCCAGCCCCTTGCGGATTTATTTCATGCCACGACACCATGTCATACGCTGACCACCTCTCCGCTGCGATTGTTGGCCTTTTATAACTATGACGGTGTTCTAACATTTGGCGGAGGGTGAAGATATGATCAATACATCCTCGACCAAAACGAAGACCAGTCTGCTCCTCGTGAGTCAATCTTTCTCGGGTTTTGAACAACCTACGAAGTACGACGGAAGCCAATAGTTTGGACGCAATCGGAATTAGACTTATCCCTCGATATTTGTTACAGGAACGACGGGAACCCTTTTTAAAGATAGGGACAACTATCGACTCATTCCATGACGTTGGGATGCGCTTCTCTCCCTCTAAATGCAAGTTGTTGCTTCAGGACTGGTCTGCGTCAACACCTGAACTAAGGATAGGGAGTGAAGTAGTCGAACGCGTCGACAACTTCACTTATCTTGGAAGTCTGATCAGCCCTAATGGGCTGGTGTCTGACGAAATCTCAGCACGGATTCGAAAAGCTCGTTTGGCTTTTGCCAACTTACGTCACCTTTGGCGGAGGCGAGATATCCGTCTATCAATAAAAGGACGAGTATACTGCGCGGCAGTCCGTTCTGTCTTACTTTACGGCAGCGAAACATGGCCTTTAAGAGTGGAAGACACCCGTAAGCTACTAGTATTTGACCACAGATGCCTTAGAAATATTGCTGGCATCTGCTGGGATCACCGGGTAAGTAATAGTGAGGTTAGACGCAGGGTATTAGGGAATGATGGTAAATCAGTTGATGAGGTTATGAATCTTCATCGACTGAGATGGTTGGGCCACGTATTACGTATGCCTGAACACCGATTACCACGACGTGCAATGCTAACCGGTGTAGGGGATGGTTGGAAGAAAGTTAGGGGCGGCCAAACCAAAACGTGGCATCAGTGCCTGAAGTCACTAACTTGTAGTCTGAGCCATGTTGGTAGATGCAGACTACTTGGTTGGGGTCCGCGTGACCATCGTAACCAATGGTTGGAGACTCTTTGTGACATGGCTCAGAATCGATCACAATGGCGTCGGTGTATACACTCTCTGTCTTCCCTTAAACTAAGAGATTAAAATCACTTCATATCTTTCTTTCTACGAACTATTTCTTTCTTCCTATACTATATCCTTATTGCAACCTTTGACCTAACCACTCCTATGAATCCGGTGTTCATCTTGCTGTGCTAATGAGGTATGGCAACCTGGACCGATGCACATATGTGCCTGGTCCTACGTTGTAGCTGACTGACTGACTGACTGACGTTGGTACACTCTCTATCTCCCAGGCCTTCGTAAACAACGTCATCAGTTCCTTAGTCAGAAAGTCACTACCATCTTAAAAAAAAGCCGGAGGTAAGTCATTTAGGCCTGGTGATTTGTAGAGCTTCAAGAGTTGGAGTTCTTTGCGGACTTCAACCTCATTTGGTGGATCAGTCGTCACCGGCCATGGAGGGCAGGACGGTCTGACCGATGTTGCCGGAGCAGCAAGCCAGTTGAACTGCCTTTCGAAGAATTCTGCCCATCGTCCAAGACATCGATGGATGTTAGTGATTGGCATCCCGTCATCCTCACAGATTGTTTCGCTCACACCAGACTTCTTGCTGCCAGTGGCTCGGACGAGTTGGAAGAGCTTCCGGCAGTTACCAGATGCAGCTGCTGCTTCAAGCTCATTAGCACGCTCCGACCAACAGGCTTCTCGGTCCTTACTCAAACTTTGCCCGATTTCATTACGTAACATCCTTCGTTTGTGGTCAAACTCATGGTCACCCGGAGTAGAGCGACGGGTTTCGATGAGTTGCAAGGTGCCTGAAAAAACCCAGTGCTTATAAGCGGGATGTTTCGCGAAGCTGCAAGCGGCTCTAATCGCCATTTTCATGGCGTCATCAAGTTGCAACCAATGCTCATTTTTGCTTTTCGGTGGAATGGTAGCTAGCCTAGAAGCTAGCTCGGTTCGATACTTACTTGCAACGAAAGTTGCAACCAACTTGCTGACATCAATAGGTGAAAGTTAGCTGCATGCTCTCACGTCACAGGAGGATTACTGAAATCTGATAACTCAGTTCAGTTAAATTTACCTCTGAATTATATTTCCATAAATTTCGTCTCTTTCAACCCTGATGACATTCTTATGTAATTGTTCCTGTTTTTCAGATTGAACAAAAATTGGTTCCTTATGTTAGAAACCCAAGCTATGATAACTTTTTCGATATAAAGCACCCTAAGTTGAAGACTGGTTATACGCTCTTGCATTTGTCTCATGTACTAAACAGTCGATGCTCACTTTTTCAAACTACCCCAGTATGGAATAGCCTATCTAAATATGTGGATAGTTTGCGTTTAATGATGAGAATTTTCGGACTTGCTCTTTCTGAACAGTGCGACAAATTATTAGTTGAACTGAGAAAAATTGATGATTCAGCAATACAGTTAGGAGGATTCGATACTATTGTGGTAAGTATAGTCATTTTCCACGATTTAAATATATCAACATAACAATTTGTAGACGGAAAAGTTAATAAGGATTGTTGATACTTGTGAAACCCGATCCGATGACTCGTCTCTAAAGCCAGGAGAACCGCAGCTTCCAAGCGTATCAGATGTAAAATCAGTGCAGAATGAACTTGTGGTAAGTAAATTAACATCTATATATAGTTATATTTCAGCGTGTTCAGGGTGGATCACAATGTACCACACCAAACTTTTTTAAAGTGGCCGAAGAGTTTATCTTCAATGGAGTAATTAATAACTCAGACTGTATGAAGCAGGAATTAGAGGCAGTTTCTGACTTGTATAGTAAATTTGATGAAGAACGGAGAAAAGAATATACTGAAGCTGTCAAAATGCAAAAATCTGAAAAAGTTGTTAAAAAAACCAAAGAAAAGCTAAGAGAAATCCTAGATAAAGAGGAACAAATAACGTACTTCCAGAATAATACGAAAATAATAAAGGATGCATGGTTAGCACCCCGAACACGTCAAGAAGCTCGTTGGTCAAGACTAAAGGAGTGGAGAAATGAAATTCTTTCTCAAAGACAAAAGCAGGATAATAGTTCGCCTGTTCAATGAATGTGAAACTGTACATATATACTTTTAATAGTAATACGTTTATATACGAAATTGATTGATGTACATCATATTGGTTACCCAATATTATTATCTCCATAAGGTAGATGTACAGATGCACCCGTTTTTTAATGGAAACTTTGATTGATAGGTATTTAAAATTAAAAGTAATTATCAGAATAAACTACAAAGTTCCAATCGTAGTTTATGGTGTGACATTTTAATATTCCCTAAACAGAGCTGTAGCTTGAAGGGAAGTGCAATTAGAAAGCTTTCTTTACATAAATATCACCTATACTATGTAACTTTGAACTAAACCTAATTGTTTTTTACTAGTGGGAGGAATCACTTCACTCTGATAATTACAATACGTGTACACAAACCCAGTTAGTTATGCTCCAGGTTACATCAGCTTCATAAAGTGAGCTCTTAGGAAACGTATTACTTTGTCAGTATATCAAAAGAAGTATGTAGGTCAATCAATAACTCAACTCCAGAACACTGTAAATTCTGACCGCATTGCACAGTTAAAATGCGTTTATAAGTCATCCATGCAACCAAAAAAATATCATCAAACGAAGTATAACGAATCATAGATGTGACTGTTATCCTTCAAGGAGAGGTGGAAGTAACAAGACTTCGTAGTGCTACAAAATATTACCACTAATATATTGAATGACTCAACATAATAAATCGAGAATGAACAACAAAAGCGCGACTTATTAGCAAAGTGTAGATGTGAATATTACTTATATTTTTAAACTTATATAGCATATTCAGATGTCTAAATGTGCGTATTCAGATTGTGTATTCTATATAAATTTTGTAGTATCGATCTGTTCTCATAATTGTCTACGTCCAGTTTATGCTGTACTGCTACTTCCTTCTTACTTGCCATTGCTCTATCCTTACGATGAACAGTCCGATTCCCAGTTCATTTTTACGAGCATCAATGGATTTCTGTGTTTGGATGAGTAACTCCGCTGAATGTTCATAATGATTTATGTTGACTCGTTGATTTAAAGTAGGGCTCGGTGTGTTCGATTTGTTGACAGTGAGCATGAACGGATTCGTATTTTCGTCTTTCTACTGCTGACCGAACAAATAATGGTATTGGAGTTCATAGCATGAATTGTGTAGATCTGAACAAAAAAGCAGTGAGGTCTTGAATGCTTCGTCAACATACCAATGGTGATACTGTCCTAATTATTTCGGATTATAATTCGTTGTTTACTCAGCCTAACATCATATAGAAAGGAATTCTCTCTCAGTCGTCTTGTATTTGGACATCAGATTTAGACTCAATGAAATTTGATGTGATAAAGGCACCTAATAGTCATATACGCATTGAATTATGTATCATTAGAAATACTGCTGGAGACAGCTAACGTTGCATACGAAGAACCAGGAAATACAACAGCTACGATTTAGCCTGTCACTTATGTTTATTAATTAGCTCATTATTTGGTTCAGTTGATTACTTTTTTCACTCTCATCTTATTTTTGTCTGGAGCACGACTGTATTCCGTTGTCTCTTGTAATTAATTCGTACTTCGTGCGATACGACGTAGACTGCTGTGTGATTTTCCGTTTATCCCCAAATCTTCTTATTACTAATCACGTTTTTATGAAGTTGTAGCCATTCATTAACATAACTCAGCACCCTTGTTACATTTCATAGATTTTCATTCCATTCTGATGACGCATAAAAAAATAACCTGGAATATAGTTTATTGCCTTTATGTAAAATTATATAATTTTGACTTTTAATGGAATAATATACCTAAAATAAATGAATGCAGATTTACTTTATATATAATTGCGCTTGCTTCAATTAATTGGTCGTGGTTTAGCCTAATATCTAAATTTTATGTCACTTGCAAATTTACCTACTACTGAATTGGATGATTTTAAAATGAACTGGTAGTTATTTTTCATTCGATCGTCTTTATTAATGCTCACTCTTGTTTTATTATATTTAGGAAGTCAATATATTAGTAGCATTATCGAGACGAGTATAATGTTTGCGGTTATTCACAGAAGTCTGCATCTTTCCGTTGCTGGTATTCACGATTAGATTTTACCTTACTCATTAAAGGAGTCTATGGCTATCTGAATTGAGCAGCTTAGAGCATAGCGAGTCGAAGCTTAAAGTGATATACAATGTTCGAGTCTTAATATAGACAACCTTGTGATAAATGCGTGTTTATGTAATGAGTCCTAAATAGTACGAAAGTACACTACGTGTCCCGCTACTAGCAACTATTTAAAATTGTGACATAATTTTATTCGCTAAGTTTCACAATAAGCCGTGATTATTGCTCGTATAAACTTCTCTGAAATTCGATAATGTAAACAGTCTTAGTGCGAGTATTAAATATATTCTAAATGTATAAATCGTGTTCAACGGTTATTAAGATTAGTCTGACTTGCTTCAAACTGACTGAACTATTAATCTTGTCAAAATTATCTGAAGCAACACACAACTGTTCATGTCTCTGAATAAGAATATGAGAAATAAAACGCTACCTCTAATTAGGATATATTCAGTTTATGTTACCATATCAAGGTAGATATAAATTTAAATGTAACTACATGAATTTGTTTCATGTTATAGATGTCTACCACCTGCGGAATTACCAACGTATGGAGGAAGTGCTATAACAGTTATTTTACAACGTATAATGTAATCTAAAACTCACATATTTTTTAACTGTACTTGTAATCCCTCCGTTATATTTAAAATATCTTAGTTATCCCAAAGACAGTAAGATGGTTTTGATGTCTGCTTTCTATAAAGAGAATCAATCTAAATAATACCATACGTTGTAGATCTGATAAAGAAGTGGTGAATTGACCGCAGCTGGAAATACGACTCATTAACTCTTGACTGAGTGGCATTATACGCACCATAAGATGTGAGTGTTCTACTATAGAACCACTAATAACCTCCATGAGTAACATCACTCTATAATTAGAAGTTACTTTGAAATCATTCAAAATACTTGCAAGATCATATCAGTAAATTACCTATTCTTGTTAAATACTATCCTACTTTGGCTGTGCTTTACTGTTCTAGATAATTCTATGTTGCGAAATATATCACTGAATATAGTGTTTGTGCTAATCAGTTTTAATGAAATCAAGATGATCAGTTTTTTTCGAAATTTTTTTCGAAATATACTGCACGAATTTACAAGCCTCCATCTGGCTTCTTTGAGAGGAGGTGGATGAGTTAGAATCAAAAATTTTATTACGACTTGCCTGATAGTTTGTAAAATTTTATATTTCGAACATCAGAAAACTTCAACAGGGGTCTCCGACGTTGTAGATTCTGTTGTTTGAGAAGCGGTTGCGAATTAATTGTTATTAGTTCCTCTGGAAGTCAAGCTTTTTCCAGTAAGGTTATTCGATGTAAATCTAAAGTTTATTGCTAATAAATCAATTCATAGTTGAGATGATTAGCATGCTTGTGCACGTTATAGTTTGTAGGGGTTATTTCATCTATATATCTGACTCCATTAAATAATATCTTGTTAACTGGGTATTCACGCACTCCGAATCTCCTAGTAGTTTTATAAATTTACTAGAGATTATTTAAAAGCTAGAACACCAGTTGTGGGAATTGTGTATTGCTAATAATTGATGAAATTCGCAAGCACACAGGGAAGCGAGTGTGTGAGTGTGAATCGATGGTGGATAGATTATTGATTATTTGTGCTTACAACCAATGGGAGGATAGATAGATTAACATACAGAAATGCATTCAATTATACTCACACATACTTTTACATAGTGGGTCAAGTGTTTAAATTACAGCAAGTAGACAAATAATAAGTATTAGTGGGTTTACTATGTAAGCTCCCATCCAGGACATTGGTGTTTTCTAACAACATCTATGTTCGACAATAATATAGGAATTTATTTTTGAAATAAATGTGCAACTTAATGTGATAGGCAAGTGTTAGGTTGAAATAATAGCTTGTATGTGTTGAAGCATATATATACATAACATCAATGGATCGCATGGAGTTAAAAAGTGGGTATAATGAAAATCCGTGTAGCCAATAAAGAATACTTACACCTTTTGCCCCTGGATTGGGCATAGGTCGCCCACTAGAATTCTTCACCAAACTCTGTCCTGGGAAATCCTTCTCAGTTACTATTCATCCTTTTGGTATCTCCTTTCAGTTCCTGATGTAGTGTGTTCTTTGAACATCCTTTTTTCCGTTTCCCTTCAGGATTTCAAGTTAGGGATTGCCTCATGGTGCAGTTTGATGGTTTCCGTAATGTATGTCCCAACAACTACTTCCATCGTCTTTTCCTTATTTCCTCCTCAGATGGGCGGCCACTGAGTTCTTCATGTGGTCCAGCAACACCCTGTAGAAATCTTTTCCTGGTACTGACTGTAGTGTGAATCCTCTGTATTTTCCACACTTACTCAAATCTACTTTCTTTAATTTCTTGATGAATTATTTTTCTTTACAGTCTATTGGCACTTGTTCGTTTTCCTAAATCTTCTTCAGTAGAACGTGAAGCATGTTTGCATTTGCATCTATATCTGACTCTTGTTCTTCAGCTAATATGTCAGGTTCTGCCGCTTTCCCGCACTTCAATTTGTCTGGTGACCATCCTGGTTCCTTTCATCGTTATTGGAGTGACATCTTATGGAAGGTCTGTGGGTGCTGCTCCCATGTCTGCTGGATTCAATGGAGTTGGCCTATTCAAGAGTTCCTCGAAGTGTTCCCCTCATGTGTTATTCTGCACCTGAATCTCATTGGTTGTCTCACCTTTCTTGTCATTGAGTGGTCTCTCTGGTTTACTATATTTCCCTGTCAGTTTCTTCGTTGCATCATAAAGCTGTTTCATATTTCCATCTCTTGAAGCTTTCTCCTGTCGCTACTATCTGTTCCTCAAGTTCCTGGTTGTCCGCTTTAATGCTCCACTTCACTTGCTTGTTTGCTTCAATGTACTCAGCTTGTGCCTTGACTTTTTCTGCTGTTGCTCGGCTGTTGTTAATTGCTGTCTTCTTGTACTTACTTTCTTGAATCTTGTCCAGGGTTCCGATAGAGACCCATTACTTTTGATGATGCTTGTGGAGTCCCAGCACCTCCTGACACGTTGAAATTATAGCTTCTTTGATCCTTATCCGATTTCCCTCCATAGTAATTTCTTCTTCTTTTAGTAGACCATGTAAGGCATGGAACTTACTGTTGAAGGCTACCTTGAATTGGTTGTTTGTCAGTATTTCGAAGGAAGTCTGTACTGAACTTTTATAATGCTGTTCTGCCAGTGTTTCTTTAGTTTCAGTTTCATCTCAGTCACAACCAGGTGGTGATCTGAAGTTACGTCAGCTCCTCTCCTGGTTCTCACGTCTCTCATTGTCCTCCTGAATTCTTTAGTGATGCAGATATGATTGGCCTGGTTCTCTGTAGTGTAATCTAGTAAGACAAATGTAGCTTTGTGTGGTAACATTTTGCAACTTATAACCAATTTGTTGAATGCACATGGAATTGCGAATCTCCCACCACTCTTGCTTCTTGCTCCCAGTCCATATCGTCCCATGATATCTCCATGGCCTGTGTTGTACATTCTGACCGTGGCGTCTAGGTGACCTATCAGGATGGTCAGGTCCTTTCACGGGAACCTCTCTACGATCAACTGCAGTATCTCGTAAGACAGATCTTTATCGTCGTCGTTGCCATCACTGGTGGGTGCATAATATTATATATGTTTAATTGTGATTCTCACCTTCTTTGTTTTGAAAGATGCTTTGATGATCCTAGATCCATGAGATTCCCATCCTATAAGTGTATGACCTGCTTCTGTAAACGGCATCGGAGCAAATCTCTGAGTGTGCGGAGTGTTATCATCTTTTTGACCGGAGCATGGCACCATCTCTTTTGTACGTATTCTGTTCTATCCGGCTTGAACCCAATGGGTTTCTCTGATTCCGAGCACTATCAAGTCGTATCTCCTCGTTTGCGTTGTTATTTGAATAGTTCTTCCGGTCTCCTACAATACCTTACAATACCTATAAAAATTATTGCTGTTGTTGTCAGAAGGGGTATCGCTCTCAGCTTTAATCATGAAGCGTTGTAATTCTCCCTTTAGACAGCTCAAATGGTTTAAATTGTTTATTCTGGTTGTTAAAATAAAGATAATAGTACAGAGAAGGAGCTTTTGTGTTCTAAGAAAAATCTCAGAATGCGGTCTAGGTAAATATGATGATTGCTACATGCCCACCTACTCATTAACTCTTCTTCCTAATTTTTTTGTAGTTTCTGTTAGTGATGAACGTCGGTGTGAAGTGGTGTTTGTTGCAGATGGCTTGTTTGATGCTTGCTCTGCCGCCGATTTAGACGATTATGCTGTTTTCTGTTTTTCAGTGAACTCTAGATTCACTGGATCACTATATCAGTGCTAACAGTGTTATGTTTACTGGGTCTTTCTACTGCGACTTTTTATAATATTTTCTGACGATATTAAAGGAACAGTCGTAAGGAGTCTGCAAGGGCTCTATCATTTCTGTGGTACGAATGATCTCATTTTATAGGTTTGGGGTTACACAGACCTGACGGATTCCATCTTGAACCAGACATTGTAGAAGAATGATTCGTTTTCTAACTGAAGTTCAACTACAGTACAGAGTTATTTGCTATATATCTAATTCCAATAAATAATATTTTGTTGACTGAGTATTTACGCACACCAAATCTCCTAGCAGTTTTATAAATTCACTATTAATGATTCAGAAGCTAGAACATCAGTTGTGGGAGTTGTGTATTGCTAATAATTGATTAATTTTGCAAGCACACAAAAAAACGAATGTGTGTGACTGCTTTCAATCAGACTCACTCATAATATTACATAGTGGTTGAAATGTTTAAATTTCAGCGAGCAGACAGATAATAAGTATTCAGCGAATTGACCGTGTAGACCGTCTGACGTAACAATTAAAGTTTTTCGGAATTAACTACACTTGCTTTTCCATTAACAAACCTAAAATTATTTCTCATACACTAAAGATATTCTCCTAAGGTCAGTAAATTAATTTCGACACACTTTGACTCTGGAAACATCGCCGGATCGTAAACTTTATAATGTTTTGAAGTTGCGAATTCTTCTTAAAAGCCGCATTCTTTATTTTACCTCATAGTTCATGTTGTATGGTATCTTATATGATCAATACCTATCCACGATTCTACGTACCATTTACTCATCAACTACTTATGTACGCGAGTTAACTTCATTTTCTGTTCAAATCGAAAGCACAAAGTTTTTCCAAACTTTTCCAGCTTCTTCACCAGCAACTAGAGGCAAGAAACATAGCCTTTCTCTGTTGGTTTCCAACGAACATTTGAAAGTCCGTTGAGTGGAACATATCCGTGTGGAACAATCTGGCGGCCCACTCAAGTTATACAGAAATGGTGCGACTAACCAGTTAACGTCGATGTCACACATTACACTTGCTATATAACGTGGACCACCCTTCGTCACATCCAAGTTCTATGGCTATTTTCATGACCGTCCAGCACAAATGATGTTGATAAAGAAATATATTAGTAAAAGTAGGTACAAAAAACAGAGTGCGACCACTCACGCACAAGCTTATTCGTAGCGTACAACCAGCTGTGGAACGTTGGTTGGCCTTGGCCTTGAAGATGATCTGTGAACTGTCCAACATTCTGTGACCTGACTGCTAGATATTTGGTTAGGGCAATACAGATATCTAATCGGTAAGTTTAATGACTTTTTTGAATATACTAATACACAATATCTACACCACTGAAATTGTAGGACATTTCAAAACGGATCCATAAGTATTTGTTTTGCCATGAAAAATCATTGTTAGCCACTAAAATATGTACTGAAGTTCAGTCCAAATCCATGAGAAACAATCTCTTCTTGACTATGTATTTCGAATACCTGTACAGAACGATATGAAAATTATAGAACTGTTCCACGCTACAAATAAAAATAACCAAACACATAACTCAGTTTACACTAGGTTGTGACTAATCTATTGATTATTGAATTGTATGTTTGACTGTTTCACTAAATTAGTCTTATGCATATTGTATACTTTTCTGAATTAAGCACATAAAAACGCGCACTCTTAGTTCGGAGATCTTGAAAATCATTATTTTCAATAAATAAAGTTTTGATTAAAACATATAAGCCAGTCTCCTAATTCATGATGAACACAAATAAAGTTTGTGCTTCTTGCTGCGAAGTCGTTTATCCTCTGGAATTGATAAGATGTTTTGATCAGGTTAGTGAAACATCTTCAGGTTGTCTTAAAAAGTTATTTTGGTTGTTTTTTGTGGATTGTTTTCAGTTTCATTATTGTTTTTTGCCATGCTTTTAAAACATATATGTGGGTATAAATAAACCGAGAGAACTTATGTAATACATATGTCTGGATCGTAAATATGAATCTCTCCTGAGTAAAATCATTTAAATGTAATGCTTTATTTTGAATCAGCGGGCAGCGTAACCAGATTTTAGCTCTCAAAGTCCTTAAGAACCCTTACTATCTGATGTTACGGAGTGAAACATTCTGTATTCATTACACTAAGAATTTAGCTAGTGTTAATCCCAACGTCTTTCATTAATTCCTATTAATGTTACACAAAGCCGTAGGAACAATAAACCAAGAGAGTAGATAAACTATTTAAAAGGTTATGATAAACGTGATTTGTGTTTTCAAGAGATCTAAAATGTCAGATTTACCTAAAACTTTCTTATACGGACATTTTGAATTTCAAACATTAGTATCAATCATCAAGTAAATAAACACAGTCAATTGTTTTTATTTCGTAAACCTAAAAATGTGTGGGACTCAACAAAACATACGTTTTCGTGGAATCCTAGACTCACTGTATTTTTTGTATGAAGAAGCTGATTTGTGCATATTTGGGACTTCGAAAAACATAATTTCAATGGATTAAATTATACAAGACTTAAAAACAGGCTTTGAAACTTTTATATGATGAGAGTAACCCTTGTTTGTGTCACACTAATCGCGATAAAATCCTTTTTACAAACCGAAATCAAGGTGAACTGAAATTTTTTGAGTGTCCTAGAAATAATGAGACAGTAGTAAATAGTGGCTATGGACAAATAAAGACTTATCAATCTGATGATCTCATATGACTGTTGCAACTACATCTGCTCATTAACCGGGATAAAACTTATGCTCGACTTTGTATCTCGAAGATAATTAATCCCTAGATTTCATTTGCTTGTCGTTTTCATGTATAATAATTTTTATTGGCACTCTCAATGGTGAAGCCGTGTACGTGTGCAAGCATAGTTCTTCCAACTTTAGTCGTTCAAAGAGACGTTTTTTTGATGTAATTTTCTCAAAACATAAGCATATCTGCAGAAAACATTATTTATGTATTAGATAGTCATCTGGAGTAAGTGGATAATAAAGAATCTTACAGTGGTTAAGACTATGTTTGCACCAAGCTATTTCATAATATGTTACAATCAACTCTCTGAACGGAATTAGACAGTAGAAATCAAGATATAGTAGGAAAATATTTTTGAACCCTTCTGAAATAATTCACTCCTATAACGTATGCAATATACAAGTATTGAGTATTCTAACGATGGATTTTTTATCGTACGTAACGAATTTGTGGATTTAAAGAAGCCGTAAAAACGTTTCAGTCAGTAGACTGACCAGCAAGTATTTTAAACCTAGTTACATTCATTGAAAATTTTGAGAATATATAGACTTATATTTTTAATAATCATTGGTTTTATAATGTAGTCAGTGTCGTAGGCATAGGATTCCTGTTTTATTTATATTATACAGAACATAGGGGGAGCTAAACAGAATGGGATGTTTTTGAGACAGTTGGCCTTTAGCTTGAGCAAATAAACTTAGTAAGATGTTCACTGCCTAGGCAAACCAAACATTCCCATTACAAACTAAAGAGATCAAAAGATTTCCTCATTGGTTACACGGTTGTCCATGACTATTTCAGCTAATAATTTGTCAACTGATTCACTACAACTCTACTGTGCTCACGTAATGCACATTTTTATGTGTCGGGGATTAATTTTCGTTCATTTTGGTTAAATGTTATGTGACTAATATACGCCATAATATAGGCTCTGAAAACAGTTTGGTCCGATCAAATAAAATCAAGGATTCGGTTAAAAAGCTGCAAGAACAGACAAGACTGCGCATAGTTGTAGAAAGTTATTCGAATCACATACGCCTATTGTTCTTTTATCTTATAAATGGATGCGAAGTACATTTAAAAGTTAAAGTTTTTACATATTCAACAGTAAATCAGGAACCTACATTCAAATACTAAGGTAAAATGGGTTCATCGCTTCACCATAATCTGTTCTAAAGTCAGAATAAGTCCGTTTGGACAATTTCGCAACATAATAAACTCTGAACGCTACTCAAAATATAATTTTGATGACATTTAAAATAAAAAATTGAATTATTCTATGGTTTATTTTACTTTTCGTTTCTTGATTAGTGTGCAAGTAAAGTTCAGTGAATTATTTTGATTAAAATATTGCTAGGCCAGCCACTCGAAACCTTCAGCTCTCAACTTTTTAACGCCGATTTCAGCATTTTGAGCGCTGCGGATTAAAAATTCTGTTCTTAAAATAAAAACAGGTGAAAACCAAGATTACCGATTATTTTCCGCATTTATTGTCAGGATTAATACAAACTTTGGTTGCTTATGTTCGCTAGTAGTTTATTGGGTATATTTCCTAGGAATTATTTGAGGAGGATAGTTTATTGTGAATGTTAGTAACCCAAGTTACTAGTCATTTGCTCCAACTCTTTAGTATGAATGCTTAAGTTATGGGCACCTTGGTCTTTTACACAGTTTAAATTAACACATCACTACACAAAAACTACTAGAAAGTTGAGTTTAATGTTCTTCATCAAGGGTTAGTACTAAACATTGCACATGTATAGTAGCAACAAATCAACATATATCACTCGTATGGTAAAATTTATTCTATTTGTTAAACCATGTAAGATGTTATTCAACAACTAGGTAATAAAATATTGTGTGTTTAGAAAACGATAATCAATGAATAACTACACCGCATTTTATTTCTTTAAAGCTTGTTCTGACATAACTTTCCCTGTTGTTTGAACAGTAAAATGGTTTAGTGGTGCATACGATTAATTATTTTATTTGGTTTAGGCTGAAAGCCGACAAAGTGCTTAATTAATTAACATGAGTAGATCTACTTTGCTTCCGAATTGATAGTTTAGTAAACCAGTTCTTTTTAACGATTTTTATTTTAAATGAGTACAATAATAAACAAATACTAAATCACTGATTTTCACATCAGATGTTAGTATTGCTAGCTGTGGTGGAAAGGAACGATCACAAGGTTTGATAAATATCTCTTGCATGATGAACAAAATGAATTATATATATGCATTTTTACATACATTCTCAACAATTCAAACTTACCTTTCAAAATGATTATTAAAAATTCCAACTTTTAAATCTCTAACATAAATAAGATAGTTAAATTTGCAAAATCATATTTGAACTCCATGGAATACGCTGTGTATGATACATGACATTTTTTTTGTTGCTTTATGATTTTTCCCCTCTTTCCTATGTGCACACAACTGTTATAGGTATGGCATAGAAGATGCTTCCGTTGTCAGCACTGTGGGATGGCCTTAAGCATATGTAACTATCATGGTGGGTATGATAAGAAGCCATATTGTGCAGCGTAAGTTCATTTGAATCTTACAATTGTTAATAATTTTTGATAGATTAATGCAAATCACAACAATGACTATCTTTATAACTTTAGTATTTACAGGCTTCAAACGTTCAACAATTTTTTTTGCAAGTTTGGTCCTAATAAGTCACAGAAATTACTGATGATTATAAGGGATCCTGAGCAGTTTTTCGCCCAGATAATATCCACCTTATATAGTGCAACTAAGTCAAACATATACACTGCGATTTCTTACAAGTGAGCAAAGTTTGAATGAGTCTACAAAGATAATTTTCTTCCCAAACTGCCACTACCTGGGATAATTTCTAAAACCGTGGAAAACTAAATGACGAACTTCTTACAGTTCAATAAACTCACCAAGAACCCTATACAAATGCAAAACTCAGGATGTTCAGATCTTTTTGTAGTCACATTAGCGTTAGTTCAAAGTTGATCGTTCACATTACGAAATGCTGATACAGGCTGGTGTCAGAATTGTGAATTGCTGGTCTAAACGTCGATGGTTTAAATTCTACATGGTTGTGTTTCGGATTCAACCTCAGGTGAGCCAGTAAGCGGACACTACTCTTGACATCCGAAGTAGGTCAAAAAATTCATTCATCAGTCGGTAGTTTTTAGTGATATAATGGTAGATCCTACTTCGTGACAAGAACTATTTCCAAATGAAAATAGTATTCATAAATTAATCGTTCATTTAGGTCAAAAAGCTTTACTTATATTTCTGGAAATTTATTTTTCTAATATGTTGCCTACAATTTACTTTTCATTTTTGTGTAGACATACTCCAAAGCCAACCTCATTTACATTCATTCCGGATACACCAGAACTATTGAGAGTAGCTAACAATACAAGAATGTTTAGCAGTGTAAGTGTTTTTCTGTAATCCTAGTTGTCTTCTTTAGATCACTTTGATGACCATTCTTTAATGCGTGACATTTTTATTGATCAAGCTAGACATAATTTTAACCACGGACTAAGGACTAGAAATAGTCTCTTTTTATCAAAAGTGACCTGGGATTTTGAACAAACATTTAAAATATACTAATAAATAATAAGTGATTAAATAGGTATCTACTCTCGATTCATTTGAAATTTCATTCAAAGCTTTTTACTATTCAAATACATAGATACTAGAAATCTGTTAGCGTCTGAAAGGATGGTTTGATCAAATGAATAATATTATTGTTTTTGATAGTAAGTATCTAAATGTGATGAAAAGGGATAAATCAAAATGACATGATATTATCATACTCCATGCACAAAAGTATATTAAATACATTTATGCATCTCAAACTTATACATAGAAAAAGAAACATATACACTCAATTCCAATCAATAAGTTTTAGGATGACCAATACTTAGCTGGTGACTTGAGTAAATTAACACCTATTACAACTACCTTATTCAAGCCAGACTGACTATCATAAATTACTTTTACTAAGTGAAAATAATTGTTGAGATAAACAGAAGTTTGTGATGGATGAAAATACATATGTAAATCAAATTGATGTACATTTATTCGGTAAATGAAATTTCATTTTGAATTTTTGTAATTTAAGAACCTAATGATGAAGTCTCCTGATTTACGGAAATTTATTCTCACTAACGTAAAGATTTTTGGATTATTTCTCATCCAAATTACAAATATGATAGACGTATAGATAATTTAAAATCTTTCCTACTAAACGTTTCGTAGAATGAAATACAACAGGAAATAACACCAATCATCAGAGTGAACATTTATTCCTAAGTATATGAACATTATTTCATTACAGGAAGTTTACAGAAAAAATAGACTTATTCGTATTAGTTATTCAAGTCTTCCTATTGATGTTTAGGACTCCAGTTGGCCCGTCTCTTTTGCAAATGTATGCATCCTGAGCGGATCGCCTCGATATTGCTATGAATTCATAAGCAATCAAAGGAAAGTGGTTGGTGGAAAGCGTTGAAATTCAGGACGTGCGTTTAGTCCTATTCGGGACATGTCAATCGGTTGAAGTTTCATTTCAGATTTATTGACTCCGGAACCCAAATTCAGTATCCTCTGTCGCGTTCAAAGTGAACAATACTGTGTTCGAGTCTCGGAGTGAACATCAACTCCCGAATAGAGGTATATCCCCCTGACAAGTCACAACCAGGACGAAACGCATCGTGGATTTCACTGCTAGCCACTTTTCATTCGTGCTCATAATAATTTGACTCTTGATAGATATAAAGTAGATAATGTCAACTTTGAATTTCACTTTTATTAGAGACGCCTAACAAATAAAGTTTCTGTAGAATGCTTTAACAAAATATGTTTAACATACACAATATATAACTACGTTTATGACTATATTTAATCAATAAAAATCAACTTCTATTACTTCACGGAAATTATAGAATTATTACTTAATTGTTTGTTGATTCTATTACTGTCCTAACATTATGATCGGTTATTATATAGTTTATAATAATGACTTACGAAACAGCTGTATTAGTTAGAGCAAAGCAAAAGATATTCAGTCACAACTAAATTGTATTTACTTACAGTTTTCAGCGAGCAATAATGGCAGTAATGACATATATGAAAATGACAAAATGATGATGAGGATTTAGAGCATCATTTCTAGTTATGACGGTCAAGGTCTGAAAATAGCTGGTCTTCATGACCTCTTAAATATCTGTCAATATCTGACAGTCCTTAACATAGATACAATCTTTGTTTGCGATTCAACGAAACCACGCCAAAGTATGTCAAACTGGGTTCAAATCTAAAACCTGATTGACAGTCAAGCGTAGGTGAATAAAGCTGTTCTTTATATTTGACCGATTCTCAGTAATAACGTCTAAGACTATAAAGCTGAGTGAAGCAGCTCTGAGTCTCATGAGAAGCACTGATTTTCTAAAGATTAAAGACGAACTTGCAGACAGATGCTCACTAACAAGAAAACAGAGTTCGTGGTTTCCTGCAGACTGCCTCTTGTCACCCAAGGTCGACCTTCTTTGACGTCTCCTAGTGGGTTTATATCTATGTCACCCAACAGTTCAACAACAAAATAAATATGATAAAAGTTTATACTAATGAGGGTTTATCATGATATCCCACCTTATTACACAATAGGATCTTCTTTCATTTAACTAAGTCATATGCTATCTACCATAGAATGTACATTTTTTATTGAACTGAAATTTGTTTAACCCGAAATTCAAGAATTCCCATTGAGACTGAGATAATTGAAATCTGAAAATGAAACAAATAATCTTCAGCAAATTGTTCTGCAATTTGATTGCTTATTTTGTGTTCAAACAGGAAATTATACAAACCATAGAAAGACACACTTTCAAGTTATGAAGAATTAATGCACACACATGTCTTATATTTGTTGTTGGTCATTGAAATTCTCTGACCGTTGTCTAAAATATCTTAACATAGGTATTACTTCGCCATGATTTGGATAATTCTAAAGCATATTTACAACAAATTCCATATACTTCAAAGCCTAATATTTTATTAAAAAACCGGCTGAATACATTCCATGTTAGTTTGGTTCATGTTATTTGTTCGTAGGTTGTAATAAACACGTTTATGAGATCACCATTCACTTGATTGACTGTTTGAAAGCACAAGATTGTTGATAAGAAAGTGTACTGGTGGACGGATTTATTTTGTCACTATAAAAGTTTTTATTTTTCAGTTATGCTTGACTGGTCATTCAAATGTATTTCCTTCACTGAGTGAAATATTTAATTAAAAGTACAAAAAATATTTTAATGAATTCCGAGTTATTAAAGCTATTCAACTGAATGGCATAGGGAAATACAGAAAAGTATTTTCCTAATAAGACAAAGTATTTTGTCCCGTTTCTTACTAATGTATAAGAGAATCTGAAATTAAATTTAGGACTATCTTCAAATGATTGTTTTGATCAGTCTCATTTATAATTATGACTATTTTATTTAAAAAACACTCTTCGTCAAGAAGTCATCAACACAATATAACCCATGTTCAGGCAAAATGAACAAAACTCGGATAAGAATCTATCTATCAAAAGACAATGAAAGTATATATTGAGATTAAAGTAGTTAGTTAGTCAGTCAGTCAGTTACCCGACTATGTACACAATTCGGTCATGTATGTTTTGGAGCGATAAGAAAAAAATCGCAAATTAGATGTTGTATTTATAGTTATATACTAGAAAGATTTGCATCAAGTCCTTTTCACTTTTATAAGCTTAATGAGTATAAGAAGGGTATATTCTTACTACAGCCCTATATAATATATAGAACGGTTTATTGTTAAACAAAATGTCTTGGATAGAGTAATAAAACAAGAGTTTACTTTTCGCATAAAGAGTTATCATTCTGTCGGTCTATCTTTATCGATTATTTAACGTTTTGGGCTATTATTAGCAAGAGGGATAAGTAAACTAGGTTTAATTACTGACTGGATCACCCAATAAACAGTTACATCTAGACAGTATGGCGTATTTGTGGCAATAAACTAAATATGGTCGAAACTCAGAGAAAGTATAGGTTTATTTTCAGACTTCTGAAGATATTTTGTGTTAATTAGTCCTAGGGAGTACGACACCTAGACTGTACAATTTATTTTTAATGGATACAAATGTATACTAGTAAGTGATTGGATTACCTATTAGTTCTGTCATCATCCATTTTTCAGTACACTGTAATGGTTACTGAAGACTACGGAGTCATATAAACCATTCTTAAAATCAATTCATTTTTTAAAGTAAATGAACACATATTCGTTGACTCTTCATGTCTACGCGTTTAATAAAATTTACAACATTTTCTGACCTAAAAACAAATATATATGTATTCATTCTAGATAAGATACAGTGCAGATGCTCAACGTATTAGAAGCAAAATCACATCATTTCCAGATGACTTGTGGACTCAACATACATTGAGACTATCAAAACAATACAGTGAGGTTAGCTGATGCATGACAAAACAAAAGCATTTTCATTTTGACTGTTCTTTTACAAAATCCATTACATTTGCTGACAATATTTGTATAGCTTTTATTGTAATAGTATGTAGTCAAACAAAGACATTAGTCTAATGAAATAGCTGAAATTACATCTAAAACGTAGATATTACACAATACGTGCTTGTATTTGTATTTGAGTACAGAAAACTTCTCATGATTGTTTCTGTGTGTGTTAATGTTAATTTTTAAAAATGTCCACTACTTCTAAGCATAACAGATCATACTGACCTATTAACTTCTTTGTTGATAATCCAATATATTATTCGTTTTATTTTTTGTGTTAAGAACTTCAGTTTTCATTCTAAATATTTTTTTTCGGTGAAATACTGGTTATAAGTGATTCTCATTTTTGTTATAAATAGAGTCTAATGTGTAAATTTGAATCTTCCCCATACATATAAACTCAACAGTTATTAATCAAAGCTATTTTAAATTAAATAATTATTAATGAACAATTTACTTCTTTTAGTTAATGATTGAATTAATCATCTGAGTCATGGAATCCTTCATATAAACGTAAATTTTTCCATGTATTTAAGAAAGTTTAGTTTATTATTATTATTATTATTATTATTATTATTATTATTATTATTCATAATAATATTATTATTACTGTGTATACACGTATAGGTAATATGTTGTTCCGAACTAATTTGCAATAGTTTTAACGAAATGACAAAATATCATATTTATAACTCTTTAGTCTAGTTAGATTAGTTAGTATTATGATTATTGCTACTGATAGTTTGCACTTGTAAACATGTTACTTTTAAACTGATAGGATATATATATTCAACAAGAGAGTTCGAATGGTGAATGACCATGATAGTATAATGAAAAAAATTGTAATATCGATCCATACTTTGTAAATGATGACAAAATGAGGTTGTGTAACTAATACAGGTTGTGCATCAATGAAAGATGTGTTTATAATTAATATACTGTTGATGAGTTATGATATCAATTAGGTAAACTAACCGAACTAGATGTTTGAGTCTCATTTACTAAACATGATATCTTTGAAATTTTATATACCTATACACTGAGTGATGGCTGATTTGTTGAAAAAAAGATTTCACTGAATTCCGTCAAATTTATCAAATAAATAAGAATTGTTTAGATTTTCATGTCTGAATATGTAAGCGAAATTTTATATACTAGAATACATATTGTTATCAGTAAGACATATTTATACAGTCATATTGAATATCTATGTGTGTAACAGGTTTGATGTACAATACTACATCAGAATTTAGCTTTAATTGACTCATGAATTCAACTACTAAAAATTAGTATTCCTTCTGGTTCGAAATTTCTCAGTAGACAACGCCTACAACCACAGATAGAATTATCTGGTGTATCAGATATCATGACACCGAAATATCTACAGTGATCAAGGATTACTTTTCTTTAAACTCACTAATTAATACTGATCGTTGACGTTAATTCATGATTGAAAACACCTCTTAAATACATTACAAAGGCATACAAGTTATCCCAAAAATAATTAATGGTTTTATGTTATGGTAAATCCATCAAACGACTGTAGCTTTATTCGACTCAATGCAATTCTGAGCTTAATAATCCGACACAGTGAATTCACAGTTCACAATATGATTAACATCTTGACACAACATACACTAATTGTTAACAGATATTATAATTATTCAACTTAAATAAACTATTTCATACAGGATTATAACCTTCGGTTATTATTATAACAATTGTCAAGTTACAATAATTTAGTCTGTAACAAATGATATACTTAATTGTGGTTAGTTGTATGGTTGTATTCGTAGACTTTCTGAAGAAATCTTTATTTGTATACTACACACTTTAATGGTTGACAGACACTTGACAAAAATGTTAGTAGAGCAAGTATGAAACATCGATTGGATGTTTCCTTTCATATGCTGTAAGACTTATGTACACTGTCAAAGAAAGCTAGACAGGTCACATGCTATCTCAGATCAAAACTACAAATGTAATACAAGTATAAGGAAAGTTTTCACCATAATCCCAACTGTCTATTCAACCAAGGTCATCGCTAACATGCCTTTATCTAAGCTCATCTAACCACCTGTATATACACATGAGCTTTCAGAATACTGACTTAGTTTAAATGCTTCCTGCATAATCGTCATATTTAACCAAAATTTTGGGTTGGTCAACGTCTAGAAACGAGTAATTGTGAATGAAATGACCAGCAGACCATTATACTTGTTTTTCAATGATCTGTTCAGTCATATTACTCATAAAATATAAATGCAAAACATTTACTTAAAACGCAACCGTTGAACAAACCTCTTCTTTAAATATGGCTGATATTTCCTGTGATTTCAGAGAAATGTTATATTTTAATCATCAAAACAGACATTCCAAATAACATTTAATTGGATATCTACTTTGAATTCTTTCTAATATAGAATGAATAATTGAAACATATAAAGTAAAATTGAAAAGCATCTTTATATTCATAGGAAAAAAGTTTTATATTAGTATCCATGACTTTTTGTGGTTTTGTTAAATACTATTCATTAATATTAAATATTCACCATTTTAAGAATCAAAATTTTAATTTTTTTTTCCATTCATTTAATTTTAATTGCTCATTTTTGTTTTTGGTATTTACTATTTACAGTGGGTAAGTGCATTCCACTATTTGTATGCATGATTTTATTTCATTCTGTTCCAATAATTTATATGATCATTCTGTTTCTAGTTTCAATTTTGATTTGTCAATCTTTTCTTTAAAAAAAATGTGATTTTTGATATTATTATTTTTCTGAATGACATTTATCTAATCTCAGTGCCTAGTGAATTTATTAATAAAGTAGATGATCTTTAATAAACGAAATTCTTTGAACTAGTTATTAATTTCAATAGTTGAAATCATGAGTCAATTGATGATAGACCACCATGGAAAACCTGGAAGCACTGGACGGCCGTTTCATTCTAGTATGAGACTCCTCAGCGGTGTGCATCCAAGATCCCGACCACTGCGAGATTCGAACCCAGGACCTGTCAGTCTCGCGCGCTAGCGCTTAACCATTAGACCACTGAGCCAGTCGGCATCCAAAAGTGTTAATGTCTAACCTCAACCAATCCACGATCGTGGATGCGCACTGCTGAGGAGTCCCATAATAGGACGAAACGGCCGTCCAGTGCTTCCAGATTTTCCACGGTTGTTCATCTTCAGTTGACACATGAATTCAACTATAAAATTACTAAAATCTCCACAAAACTCCTTCTGATAGTTATTAATCACTGATTATTTCAAAGAGCTCATATTAAAAATATATTGATGTTCAGTTAAAGGATGTATAACTGTTCACTTAATACTTACATATTATTATTCAATTAGCTTTTATAAAAGAAAAATAGTCAAACAATTAATTTACAAAATGAAAAGTACTTTAAACATGAATTTTGTTACAATCTAATATCAGCTAAAGTATATTTGGAAAACCAAATACCACTTAACACTTAACCTATCTTGATTTAAACCTATTTAAAGAAAAATGCTGACGTTTCTGATTCTTATTATTTGCTGATAGTCATAGAACCATGAGAAAATAATGGTGAATTACTACTTTTAATTGTGAATAGTTTTCTAAAGGATGACGTATGTTGATGAAAATAACCATGAAACTATGCAAAGCATTCCATATGTGTTTATGAATCAAAATCTATTCATAACAAAATTAGAAAATCCTTAGTCACTAAAAGTTTATTGTTCAAAATAAAAGAAGAACAAGTGACTACAATTAATAATCTTTTAGATAAAATCAGTTAATCAGAATCTGATTAGTAGTTTAACAGCTGAGACATTATGATAATATTAATTTTAATTATTTAATTTCAAATAGCGTAATGATAATAATAACAATATCTTACTCCAATATACAATTTAAAATATCTTTATTACGTAAGACCTAATTTGTGCATTGACATTTTTATTTATTTAATTTTATGCGTATAATTAAAATATCCTTTAAATTAATTTGGAATTATAGTTTTGTGCTTTTACTCTTATGGTCCATTGATATTTTCTGATTGTTAAGTATTATTTTTAATTGTTAGTATTGAACTAATTGTTTCGTGATAAGAGGCATGTTTAATAAACGACAGTTATTATTAAGAATTGGGTTGTTGTTGTTGTTGTTGTTGTAGAAGACCAATAAATAATCCCCTAAAAATATAATAAAACAATTTAGTTATTATCAGAAGGGGGGGTTGTGGATATTTTAGTAATTTTATAGTTGAATTCATGTGTCAACTGAAGGTAGACGACCGTGGAAAATCTGGAAGCACTGGCCGGCCGTTTCGTCCTAGTATGGGACTCCCCAGCAGTGTGCATCTACGATCCCGCCCTGCGGGATTCGAACCCAGGATTTATCGGTCACGCGCACGATCGCTTAAACTCTAAACCACTGAGCCGACATCCAACAGTGTTAATGTTGAACGTCAACCAATCTATACTAGGACGAAACGGCCGTCCAGTGCTTACAGGTTTTCCATGATGGTCTAGCTTCAAATGACTCATGAATTCAATTATAAAATTAGGTTACTGTTTAAAATTTTATCTATATATCAATAATTGTAATGAGTTATTTAAACCAGAAGTATTCCTTGCATTAAATTAAATTATTTACTAACAAGTATTTATAATTGTAGATGAGATGTTAAGAATTTTATTATTTCTTTAATCAAAACCATTTAATGAAGTAAATTTCAGACTTACAAGAGAGAAAATGAATGATGTCTTGAAAATTTTGAACATTGTTTCTTTTTGTACATTAAGAATTAAGTTTGAGGTTTATGTTATGACAGCGAACAACTCTGATGTGAATTTTGACTCATATTTAGCTACTTAATTTAAAATATTAATATAAGAATGCAAATAATGAGTAAATGTAATGCAAAATATCCTTCAGCCA